GGAGTCATTTTATATTCTCGGTTTTATTTACATTTTTACTTTTTATACTTTAAATGGTGAAAATACGGCTTTTTTTTTGTCCTCAAAAATCCTTCTGCCGTATCCGTAAAAGACTGCACCTTCCATATTGATTACTTGATTAAAGTCTGGTTAGTTAAGTAGCTATTCTATAACTGGGCCAATCAGTTATGTAACTGATGCCTTGGATTGAATGAATAAGTACGATGAAGGCTCCCCGAAGACATCTGTGGAAGTAGGTCCACACTGCCGCGGAGAACTGAGTTAAGACTTGAAAGATAGACCCCCGAGGAGCCTACTGTAGAGGTATTGTATTATATGTGAATCTGTGTGTGTGTGTGTGTGTGTGTGTGTGTGTGTGCGTTTGTGCTTGTGTGGGACAAAGGGGAAAGTTCTCCATAATTTATGTCCTGCAGTTACGCAGCTGTGGAGCAACGATTGGGAATTACAGTATGATATGAGCAGGAGAAAACTGCTACACTGAAACCCTGATGAAAGGAAAGATAAAGAAAAACAGAAAGAGAGCGGTCACTATGGGTGTGATAAGACAAAGCAGACCACAGGAACACTTAATGTGACACTGATGGATGTCACACCAACTAAAGCAAGGAGAGCAGATAAAGATAAAATCATTTCTGCTTTATGTGCCCTTCACAATTTACCCACATTGGCTCCAATCTACTTTAAAGGCGGTGTTATACTTTACACATCTATGAGGATGCCATTGTCTGAATCCACACCCACATTAACTACATTTTGTCACCAGAGGATGAATGTGACACTCTCCACGTGCCCTTCAATGTCTGTGAACCACGCAGACATCACACTACAACTACTAATCTATGTGCCACGTACGAGTGAGTGAAATCCCAGCGGCTGAAGGATGATCTGTGAGCTCAACGGTTTCAGAGTCATTGTAGATTGTGTCCTGGGGCCGTGGCAATGAGGAGGGAATATATATCTAATCAGCACTTGATCATAATGTCAGCAGAAATGACCATCATACCATGCCACTGAGTATTTCAGAAACTGCTGATCTGATGGGAATTTCCCACACAACCATCTTTCTCGTTAAGATAGTCTCAAAAAGAGGAAACACCCAGAGAGCAGGAGTTTTCTGGATGAAAATGCCTGATAGGAAGGCGACAGTAATTCCATTAACCACTTGTTACAACAAAGGTGTGCAGAAGAGCATCTCTGAACACACAGCAGAAGACCACACCCGGTGCCACTGCTGTCAACTAAGAACAGGAAACTGAGACTACAGACTGAAAAAGTGCTGCCTGGTTTAATGAGTCTTGATTTCTGTCATCATCATGTCAATATGAACCAAAAGCTAAGACCAATGTTTCCACCACCTTCTTTAGGCCAATTAAGATAGCTCTGAAGGTAAAAGTGGCACAACCAACTACAAACAACCTGTACCTAACAATCCTGTGTGTCACTGATGTCAATAATGCACTGGAAAAAAAATATTTACACCCAAAATGATTACATGTAAATTCCCATTTAATTTTGTTACATAAGTGCAATGTAAATATTCAATATGATGGAATCTGGTCAAATTAAATGTACTTTTTTGCCGTACATTCAGTTTATGCTGAGCATATTTTCCTTACTGATTAATTATTTGAACAAATAAAACTTTGATTTTTATACATTTCCTTTGCATTTTACTTCAAAAAAATAAACATTGTGTCATGTCTAAAAAGTACAAGACCTTTTTTTGAGTGTATAATCATTTCAGATATTGTTGTTTGTGTATCTTGTTTATGTTCGTGACCTCACAAACTCGTTTCTCTGTAGCCTCATAGTGAGCAGTTGAGATAACACAGTTCAAACAATAAAGCTCAACTGATAGTAACAACTACCTTTTATTGATTCTAACATTTCGACGAAATGGGCCACTACACTACTTATTGATTGTGCTGACAATTATAAAAAACAATGGCTCCTCTAAAAATTAAATAAATGGATATTATTAATACTCATCATGCTGTTGCTACAGTATGCCAAAAACACATAATCTGTGATTAAAAGTTTGTTTTCTGCTTTTGAGTAATCACTTAAACTCTCATTTTCAGCCTAGAAACTTATTTTAGGACTCACTGTGCTACATTCTGAAAGTGAAAATAATTTAATTTCTAGACAGGTTGAAAAAAATGAACACATCAAAGAGAACAAAGAGCCTCTATAGACTAATCTGAGTTGAGCTCATTCCTCCTTCCATTTTGTGTGTTTGTAGTCGTGTGTGTGTGTGTGTGTGTGTGTGTGTGAGCCCGAAATGTTCTCTGCAGGCATAACTGTGTCAAATAGCACTGAATCCACCCTAAAGAGTGCACGTTTGGGTTGCGGGCTTCTCTTTTTTCTCTGATTTGGCTCCGCTGTGCTGCGAGACTCATAACTGCTGAGAGAATTTCCACAGCAGAGGGGGAGCAGTGCTGGTTGAAATAGTGCATTACCGCCACACTCAGCCAACTAACACTCATGCACACTTTCAAGACCATTCATTATTCATTACTCCCCGCTGCCTTCCACAGCCCGAACTCGGTCTCGTGCTCCGAGCTGAGCGGAAGCGTGCTCCGGATTCAGCGTACGGGCCTGACACATCATCATCAGGACGTGATTCTTATTAGAAAGCGATTGTTTAATGTGTATCTAAACTTGGAAGTGTTCTCATAACCTGCATCCTGCATGTTATCCAGGCGTCCTGTTTCCCGAGTGAGCAGAATGAATAGCAGAAATGAGCAATGAAAGTTGGCTTTGACTGTCATATATAATCACCTACAGTATGATTTACAGATGAGGAGCAAGGAATTTTTTTTAAATCAGCTTTTCCAAACAACCTAGTCTTATTTTATTTACTTACATTATTTCACTTTGCACATAGAAACAAAATCAGCAATCCCAGCTTATTCTTCTTTGGCAAATTTCTCCAGCTCCTCCAGATTTGATGGTCTTCTGGCATGGATCTTGAGGGCTTTGTGCAGGCCAGTGAGCTATGTTAACTTTGGTCAGCAGGAGCGACGTATGTTTTGGCTCGTTGTTGTTTCTGAAGACAAGGGGATGACTCAGATCCAGTTTTGCTACTGACTGCTGGAGGTTGTCACAAGTCCTACTTTCTTCATGATTCCTTCCACCTTAATGAGATTCCCAGTTTCAGATACACTGGAGCTTCTTCACAGCATTTTCCTCCCATCGCCGTGCTTCACCGTGGGGATGGTGATCTCTGGATTGTAGGGCTGTCCCTTCTTTCTCCAAACAGCTGTGGTTTCGTCTCATCTGACCAAAGGATGTGTCTCCAGTAAGCATAATCTTTCTCCAGGTCGTCTTTGACATACTTCCGTGTAACTGTACGGTGCGTCTTCGGCAGAAGTGGAATTTTTCTTGGTCTGTTCTAGTGATTTTCTTCTTTGAGACTACAATTCCTGAAAAAGTCATTCACTAATGCCCTGGCAGTGGTTCTGTGGCCTTTAGACACATCTCTCACAAGTTTTCTTTCCAAAGTCTTGGAAATCTTTGGCTTCCTATTTCTGACAGGCTTGTTGAATACTATGTGGCTCTCTTTGAATTTTTTGATGATACTTTTGGAAACTGTGATGTTGTATAGCCATCTCCTGCTTTGTGAGCATCAACAACTTTTTCTCGCAAGTCTAAATTGATGTGTTGTGTTTTTGGCATGATGCTTTCTCAGTGACAGCTCAAACCCTCGCTAAAGTTTTTATACTTTGTGCAAATAGCATGCTAACTCTGAATTCTAACACATCATTGTACAGCAGTGGTTTGTGCTGTAGCTCAATGAAAAGGTCAGGTTTTCAGGTGGGGTAAGATTTTTTTTTAATGACATATTTGTTATTTTGCACAAATTGAAACAATTGATTATTTCTAAATAAATTGATCATGTTCAGAAATGCTATGTTAAAATTACTCGCTCTAGTAAAAAACAATTGGGAAAATTTCTAATAAAAAGCTTTTTCATAGCAAGGACTAATAATTTTGTCCCGTAATCTGCACTCTGTAATTAGTTTCCTAAAAATATCCAAGGTAATGCAAAGCTGTTGAGCAATATAACTCCAAATAAACTAAGGTCTGCCATCATCAACTTAAAATAAAACAGTGAACCTTAAATTCTAAATAATAAGCAATAAATGTCATAAATAAATGCTAAATCACACAAATACAAACATGTATTTCTTTGTTATTATATGCACGTTATTTTATTTTAGAAATATTATGCACAAAAATACTAAGAGGTTAGTTCAAGTTCATACAGTGAACGATAATCTCCTTCCTTCCTGGGACATCAACATCTGTCTGAAGTCTGTGACCTTGAAGAGTCCCCCCCACCACACACATACACACACACACACACAAACACATACCGTTTGTATTCACACACAAATACAAGTGAAGCAACAGTATAGATCTGGATTTGAGCGGGGGATTAGGGGAAGAAATGCACAGACTAAATGTGAGTAATGCCACTGAACTTGCCTTTCAAGCTCCGGGAGCACATTCCTTTGCATGTAACCCTGAGAAACAGAGAGGCACAGATGACTACTCTGTGACATCAAAAAAATGTTCAAAATGTTCAGAAGATGAGATGCCACGCGTCCTTCTAGGATACACTACCTCCCCCCACGCATTTAGCCCGGAATTACTGAGTGTTTACGCGCGACAGCCCAGGAAAACACCTCTCATATCCACTTGCGCGCTCCCCCGGGTTTAGTAGTAGGCTATCTTTATCTGTGGCTTCATGGATTCTGGGGTATCCTCAGTAAAGACAGGAAAAAAGTCGGCTTAGTGGGCGACCAGAAAGTGTGTGGTGCATCCACTGCTTTCAACTCGTGCAGTCAACTTTCCCGACATCAAGGAATGTGGGTGACATATTCCCGTCTCTTATGACAGAGAGCATGCAACAAGAAACCCCCCTCACAGCAGCCCGCTTCGTTTCCAAACACCCACGGACTCGGACAGCTTACCTGCTCCACGCAGCACGTCGACAGCACGCGGACGCTGAATGTGGATCCTCGCTCAGTATCTTCAAACCGCGCTCCAAAGCCTCACATAGCAACACAAATAAAAAAGCCCTGCGCAGATCCAGGTCCTTTCTCAGAGCAACCCTCACTGTCGTCCTCCTCGGTCACCATGGGAAAGCGCGCCATCTTGCGGCCGATCGGATTGCGCGGAGCAACAGGTGTATGGAGGGAGGGACAGGTGAGGACGCTGCGTTCAGAAGCCCTCGGAAAAATATGGAGATTATTTCAAACTCAGCTTCAGTGGTTAAAGCGATCTTTAAACAGGACTCGCTTTTTGTGACACGATTAGTTAATCCAATGGTTCATTTAAAAAAAAATAAAATAAAATAATGCGAAAACGAAACAAAACAAAACAAAGAAATCATATGGTTTTCAAGCGTCAGGCATGGCCAAGGTTATTATAGTTAACTAAAACTAAACACTAAAACTAAATGTGAACAAATCTTTTCAGTTAACTAAAATAAAGATAAAAACTAGACTTTTGAAAAACAAATAAAACTAATAAAATTATTTAGTGAACTTGGAAATCTAACTATAAAAAATATAGAGGACACATCAGTTAGTTTGGCTAAAAAAATAAAAAAATAAAATCTTGTAACACCTGTACTGATTCTCATTCTGATTCTGATTCATGCAATAAAAGTAAATACTAAAATTGAGACTGAAACGAAACAAACAGAAACTAAACTACAATTCAACACTTTCAAGCAATAAAAACTAATCTGAAATGCCCATATCGGATTAGAAATTAAGTGCCAAATTGTACTTCAACTGAAACATATTACAGCATATTATTGGTGTTATTACAGGTGGGTTATTATTAGTTGTGTGATGATGGTTGTATTGTATATGCTGGTGTTTACATTCGTTTTTGATAATATAAAAATGTAATAAGGAAGAAAAGGCTTGTAGCAAAGGCGGTATAGTTTTTCACTTTATTGACGTCATTTCATTCATTCATTGCTCTGGTCAGTAGATGGTGGTATTTTCCCAGGCATCGCGTCCGGCGTGAGACTTCATTTTGCGGTGCCTTCAAAATAAAAGCACATGATTTTGTCTACTTCATGGAGCGATACGTGAATGAAGTACATGAGAAATGAATGGGAACTATTAACGTCAAAAATATGTATTTGTATATTATACACGAAAATACATTCTACTGTGGCATTTAAAGAAAAACACACATGACTTTTGCTATAACGTATGTTGTTTTCGTAAATACGTACCTAGGTACAACTTTGAAAAAATGTTTTCTACATAAATATGTACAAATTAGATATCCCAGTTTACAAAAAAAGAGATATTATTTTTAAATTAATAAATAGCGTGGCATTTTATTGTAAATTTCTCAAGCAGTATTAAATTGTCCTCAAAGAGGATTTTACTTTGAATTCGCACCGGATGTTGCATCTTATCCTAGCCCGCTTCACACAGGAGACCGCTGATGGTGGACGGAGAAGCTATCCGTAATCTTTTTCAAAGGGCTTGAACGTGTGAGGATGCTGGTGAAGTTTGCACAAACTAGCAAACAGCCTGGAGTCTTTTACGAGTCCGTTTTACTCAGGTGAGCGGTCACTGAACTTAATTATGTTCTTTTGTATGTTTGTTTGTTTGTTAGCATCTCTTCCAAATCCATTTAAATTAGCCTGAAGCATGATTCCGTACACATAAACACCACAAGTGGCTCTCTGGACAACTGTGAGCGTGGGTAGGCCAGACTGAGCGTGCACCATGAGCAAACTTATCGCTTACTGACCTATTTTTTTAAAATGTAGACGTAATTGCTGATTTGGGCTGGACCTAACACTTTATGTTCTTTCCTCTGTACCTCCCACAGTTTTCTTTGTTCGTTTTGCTCACTGTCTGTTTTATTTTTCTGTCTTTCAGACTCGAGAAATGACATAAGAAGTCTGTTTGTACAGGCAGGTAGTGGTGCCACATAAATCTGCTTTCTCCAGGCTTTAGCTTTGCTGACAAAACAAAAACACACCCAGGCTACTTAGAAAGTTGAAGTTGGAGGAAAAGGAGGAGGAGGTAGAGGAAATCCGTCTCTCCTCATGGCCAGCGGGCGTTTTCCAGGCAAGAGTGCAGATGTGGCCATCAACAACTGGACTGCTCCATCTCAGGGCAGACCGCTGTGTGTCAACGGGACACCATGGATCCTTTACCTGCTTGAGGAATGTGTGGACAACATCTGGGAGTACTGCAGCGTTGTGATAGGACTCATATCCATGTTCTGTTTTTTGTTGTCCACGATACCGTGAGTAATTACTTTGATTATTGTCGGCTTATCGTGCAACCAGCTCAGCCAGTCAGAAATGTTAACGTCTTATATTTGTCTTTAATCTGACTTGCTGGGTCTTTCCAGGCAGGTCTATGAGGCCTATCGGAATGGAAAAGTGGAAGAGGCCATGTCTTTTGGGTTTCTCGTCTTCCTCCTCAGTGGAGACCTGACCAGCTTCGCTGGATGCTATCTCACTAGCCAGCTGCCCATTCAGGTGAACACAGAAAACTCAGCCTGGCTGGTTGAGGTCTGCTGGCTCTGCAGTGTGAATCTCTATCAAGATTTTGAAGTGATAGTCATTATCCTGATACTGCTTTTCTTTTTTTCATTTTATTTGACATTTTCTCTCTTGATTTGTCCCACTCTCAGGTTGTCACAGTGGTGTTTTACATCTTCACTGACCTGATTCTCATCTCCCAGTTTCTCTACTATAAGATCAAAAACAGCTCCAGCAGAAGTGAGTCCTGACATTGTCTCTGCTCTTAGGTTAAACCGCTGACAAAGCATGATGCCTGGTTTAAATACAGCACTGTGCAAAAGTCTTATAACATAAAGAAGTGATGGGTAACGCAAGACTTTTGTGCACTTGTTATGTAACATTTTCCATCACAACCATCTCAGGGGTTTATAGAGAATGGTCCAAAAACCAGAAAATATCCAGTGAGCAGCAGATGAATGGATAAAAGAGATTGTTGCAGCAGCAGAAGACCACACCGAGTACTGAGTACAGAGCTAAGAACAGGAAACCGAGGCTACAGTTTACATAGGCTCAATAAAACTGGACAATAGGTGAAACTGGACAATCGCATCGTGGTCGTGCAGCAGACAAATCTTCAGCAACTGTGTGATCCTATAGTGTCTAAGAATGTGTAAGAATTCAGGCAGTGCTAAAGGCAAAATGGGGTGAATCCCAGTACCGGCAATGTCTAATTACCTCCATCAAGGAGGTTGTGTTTTTGGTAATGTTTCTGTGTGTCTTATTTATAGCTCCAAAAGTTTTGAATGAGTTGTGCTAAAACCTTGCAGGGCTGTAGAGTAGGGTTTAATATTATACAATAGTTATTCAAGTTATTTATATCCAGTTATCATCTGTTACCTACTCCTACATAATGTTTGTGTAGTCAGAGTAAACATCTGTCGTGCTGCCCTTATCTGATTTGCACTGCTCTGCAAACTTCATTTGGTAGTAATCTTAATTATATTGTTGCCTAAGCAAGACTGAACCTACACGTACTGTTTTTGCTGTTGCAGGATACTTCTGTTACCGAGTTTGTGTGTGTTTGTCATTTAGAAAATCCCGCGCTGAAGTGGGTGTGCTTCATGTGGTGTGGCGCTGGGACATTAGCACTCCTGGCTTTACCCAAGCTCATTATAGACAACGGTTCACATTTAAACACTCAGGTAGGACGCAAACACCTTTCCATTTGAGATTACCCACTCTTCCGTAGGTGCAGCATGAATTTTTTTCTCTTTATTTCACTGTTATCTTACCCAGAGTCCAGCCAGCTCCAAGTCAGTGGAAATCACTGGTTATGTATGTGGATATTTGGCATCTGTTTTCTACCTCTGCTCCCGTTTTCCACAAATCCATAAAAATGTAAGTAACCTTTTTTTTTTTTTTTAATTCTCAGAAACATGGTTTGTGTGTTTGGATTGGAGGTTTGTGGAAAGCTCAAATTACTATGTATGAGTTGGTCATAAATGGGGATGGAGAAGATGGTGAAGTATGGATATTTGTGAATACTGCATGTGTGTCAAAATGAAAGCCAGGCGTTGAAGACAATGGCACTGTTGTGCTGAAGAAACACATTGGCTCGATTGCAGCGATTAATCACCAGAGGGGATCGTCTCAGTAGCGTGCCAGTGCCAGAGAGACTTCTGGGCACAAAGCATGGACTCCCATGATGTTGTAAATCATTTGGGTCGCTTTTGCCCCTGTGGAAATGTAAACATGTTAGAGCACGTCCAAAATGTCATTCCAAGTCTACAAAACAATTAAAACTGTTGCTGTTTAGGATTTCCTGCAGAGTTTTTCTCACATACGCTCACTTGTTGCCTGACATTGTGGGGGAATAATCAGCAGGATATTCATACTCTGCTGCCAAGCACTTGAGCGACAGCAGAGCGTAAAACTCCATTTTATCTTTCAAGGTTGAAATGTGTCTTTGGTTTCTTAATATCGGATGGATACTGCCTTTCCTCATCCTTTCAGTGATAGATGCGATGAACAAAGCCAGCCTGTTTATGTGAAGCACACATGCTTCCTGCTGTTTGTTAGTAGGATGAATTCGCCATTGGCTGTTATCTCTTTTGGGGATTTGTTGATACCAATAAAGCAACTCAATAAATCTAGTCTTATCCTTTAATCTTGTTGAGGTTCTCTGTTTGTTTGGAGTGCAGGTCCACTGAATTGAGATTAATGTAAGTGAAACAACATGTACTTAACTCTTTTTTTTCATTGACAGTGACTCTGGGTTTTTGTGTGTGGGGGGGCTTCATGAAACCAGGAGTTGTTGTCACAGGTGGTGCTATAAAGAGGCCAGGAAAAATCCAATTCCACCAAATTAGCACTAAATTACACTTGTTGTTTAGTTGTTTAAATTCCTTTTTTTTTCTTTTGTGTTGAGGTATCCCAGCAGACATTGAGGCAAAGTTTAAACCTTCACATAAGACATCTTTACAGGGAAAGTTGCCATTTTTATCCGGCTGTAGCTGTGGGAGACCAGTCAGACAAATGTTTCTGGCCATCCCTGCTAACAATAAGAGTCGCTATAAGCCCAGTGTAAGACTGCTGTGGTGCTTCTTGTTTGTCTGTTAATTATCTGTTAACTATTCTAGTTCCAGCGACAGTCTACAGAGGGCACCTCCTACCTGCTGTTTGCCCTGGCCATGATGGGTAATGGGACGTATGGGCTGAGCGTCATAGTTGTCCTTCCGGCATTGAAGGGCTCCAAACAGAACTTCATCGTCAAACATCTGGCCTGGCTCATCGGCAGCCTGGGAGTCCTCATACTCGACTGTTTTGTATCCTTCAAATAATAATAATAAGCCCAACTATACAAACTTAATGCAAAATCTGACCCGATAAATCATAATAGGGTAATATTGCTTGTAATGTTTTTGCATGTGCAGTAAATTTAAAGCATTCAGCATGCTGATTTTGTCCCAACTTGTGTACAACCTAGGGATGCAC